GGCCGTGGTGGGGAGTTGTTGTATCGGGGCACCCCGTTTGCTTGCAGGCCTTTAAGATGGGCCTGTTCAGGCTGGGAGCTGGTTCCCTGTGTCCTCCAGCCGAACAGGTAGGCTCTGCTGTTAATGAAAACTGAGCAGAGCTGTTGCTGGAGGAAGCTGAGCTGGTAAGCAGTGCAGGAGAGAACTTGAAGGGTTGGATTCTGTGCCATGTCTTACTTCCATGATCTTTTGAGCATGTCTCTGGTGTGCCTGATGGCAAGGACTGCCCTCATTGTGGGGTGCGGGGCCCCTGCAGTTGGTGTGGTGCCTCCTTTGTGTCCTGGAGGAAGGGTACTGCTTCATCTGATGTTATGTTTCCCTCCTTGCCCACCTGAGAAGGTTCAAACAGGTGGAGCTGGCCTTAAAGGGGGACTTGGACATGGCTTTGCTGAAGAAGGAATCTGTTTAGGGAGGGGACTGATGACAGCCTCTGCACTTCTCTCAAAGTTCCCTTGTACAACAGCACGGTAGCCTTTAGCTGGCATTTGGGGATAGCCTATTTAATCTGTGTTCCCCTAAGGGGAACTGGGTGCTGTGCCAATCCTGGTATGTGGTGCTGTTTAATAGGTGCCTCTTCCCACCCCTGTTCCCTCCTCATTTGACAGCAGTTGCGTTGCCAGCTAACTTTAGACTGACCTTTTTATGGACTGCTCTGGTGTCTGTAGAGGAAGGAGCTGCTTAGCCCCTGTCAGTAAGCATGTCTCTGGGGCTAGCTCGCTCTGGAGCATTTCAAGGAAGCTGTCTTTTTTAATCAAGCAAACACTTGATACAAACTGATAAATGGTTTTAATGCATATGGCTTGGTACTGATTCTCGACAGACAGTTGACAGCATGCATGGTCATGAGACCCTGTGATAGTTTGTACTGTGGGGTGATGGGTGCGCCTCCACCTCTGACATAGGAACATTGAGACACAAGTTAATTTGTCTGAAGTTAGTAGTGAAATTACCTGTGTGGCTTGGACACCAGCTTGGTGGGGTTCTAACCACAAATCCTAGGTTGTAGGTTCTTTTCATAATTTTTTTCATTATTACTGTCTGATAGAATCCTTGTGGCCTACTGCTTTTCTTTGTGGCCCACTGGGAAGTTTGGCCTTTGTTTACAAAACATGGTCAGGTGTTTTGATCACAGTATTTGTGTGTTCCTTTTCCGAGAGCAGTATCTCCTTGCCCAAGGCAGAGAGCTCTTTGGATTTGGATGGGTCTATGGCCCCAGGTCCTGTTCTCTCAGGTGAGCACTGTTCAAGTGAGCATCATGTTAATCAAAGTGCTTCCGGAGCCATTTTTTTCCAATTTGGTAAATAGATAGATTTTAATGGACCAAGAACTTTGTTTTTAATGAAGAAGGTAGCCAACAAGCTCTCCTACCAGCTATGAAGATCCTCAGGCTAATTCTTTGTAAACTGCATGTTTTGAAGGCGTCCGTAGTGCTAATGTGCCACATTCTCTTATTTTTGTCTTGTGTGCGTGTCATGATTTGAAACAAAGTCTTCATCCTGACTTCCATGTGATAGCCAGGACCCCACTAAGTGTCAGCTTCAAGGATGAGAAGTGCAGCTGTTCTCACATGACATGTGGAGACTTTGTTTATGAGTCAAAGCAATGTATTCTGAAGAAACAAGTTTGGTCATAAAGTCTTTTTTTTCACTCCAATTTATTTTTTGCCAGGTAAGAGTCCATACAGGGAAAAAAGGTTTCTTAACTGATAGCCAGGAACAGCTGAAACATCCCAGAATATCTTTTGCAGGTATTTTTATTGCGGAGATACCTTTTGCAATCAATTCCACTTAAGTCAGGCAGCCTCTCAAGTGTGTTTATGGCTATCAGAAAAAACAACAACAAAACCTGAGAGGAAATAATAGGAAGTAGTAGCTGATAAGACTTTTTTTTCCATAGGGAGTGTAACATGGGTTATGATTTTAGTTAAGCTATACACTTGATTGAAGAGTAAATGTGCCAGGAAACTGAGAGCAAGCTTCTAACACCACAGCATGATATTATTTAGCAAAAGTCCTTCCATAGTTTACACAGCTCAAATGTTTTCTGTTAGTTAATTGTATCATAATTAGTCTTTCAAGTTTTTTCTAGATACCATTCCCAGTTTCCAGACATGCTTACCAACATAATATGATGGTACGTCGAAGTTATCTTTGCTTTAGAACCATAAGCTGAGCAGTGTGAAGCATCTGTCTACCCCAGTAAAAATGTATTTGTATTGGGGCGGGGGGACAGTGGCCTGTATTGTTTTAAGAAGCAAAACAAAAATCCCCAACAACTTACCTTTCCAAGCTGATTTGGATATCCAGCTCCTCTTAAAGTCAAGAACTTTCATCTGAACCCAGGCTGCTCAGATTCATAAAGGGTGAAAATTAGCAGGTCAAGCCACTCCCAACATGTTAAGTGTCTTCCCTGGTTCCTCATATGTGGCCTAATTAAGCAAATCGGAACTCTCCCAATGGTGTCAGTATAAAAAAAAAAAGTAAAAGCAGCAGAGTCCAAATCAAAAGGAGATCTATTTCTTCAATTTAGGACATCATTCTTCTCTCCCCCCAGTCTCTGCAGCATTTAGGGCAAGTGCAGGCCTTGATGAAGTTTGTTTCTGACCTGTCTCACAGATAAAGCCTGAAGGGCAAGTTGCGTGTCTGAAGTTCTGAAGGAAGTGGCCACCTTGAAAGCCAGACCTTTAGTGTCCTTCCCTGTTGCTGTAGCAATTAACTCGCCTGAGTCTCTCCACAGGTTGCAGACAGACCTGTGGGTGCTGTCTTGATCAGCATTGCTGTCACGATAGCCCTAATGAGGGGGAGAACACCAGTGCTCTGGACAGGGGATTTTCACAGAACAGGGAGCTGCCCTTCCTCAGGGAGAGGGAAATCCAGAGGTGGAGCAGAAGCTCTGAAAAGTTGCTGGCCTCTAGTCAAACGCAGGCTCTTAGCCATGGCTGGAGAAATGAAGCCTACGAGCCCCAGCTCAATGCAGTTGAAGTGTATGACACTGTTACACGTTTGCTTGTGGCATTGGTCAGGCTTTCAGCGAGCTGTGCTGCAGAACTGCGGGAGAAGAAGGCAGCTCTCTGTTCCTACTGAGAGAAACCCTGGTACAGAAACCATCAAGGTTCAGAGGAGCATAGGCCTTCCAAGAGCAGCTCGGGTCTCAAAGCCTATCCCCCGCTTCACAGATGCAGCACCACTCTTTAAAATCTACATTGAAGCGACCAGAAATCTTTGTGTTCTGTATTTCCCTTCCAAGTGTGGGATCCTACTGGTCTCCTCACATGAAGGTGATTTATTACCTGAATCAAAAGTTTATCTGACATCCCTACCTAGGAATGTGTATCCAGAAGTCTGTACCTCTTGGAGACCCTGTCTGGCTCTTGGGTGTGACAGCTCCAGGCAGCAGTGACTTTCACAAGCTCATCCCTTAATCCTGGTGTGACCCACCTTCCTTTCTCCCATAGATAGGGCACAAGCAGCTCAGTTCTGAAAACCCTTCCTGTATTTTGCCATAATTTTCTTTTTGTTGCAAGTAATATATTTTTCTGCACAATTCTTTTAACTTGTATCTCCACTGAAGGCTGCTTTGAGTTTCAATTCACAATTATTTAGCTTCTTTCACATCAACATAGCACCTTTGCTTTAAGCTTGTACATGGCATTCTGCTGGCTTTAAGTGCACAGTAGCTGCTGTGGTAAGAAAATGCAAGGAAAGTAAGTTTACCTTGTGGTATGTGCAGAGAGGCTTAATTGAATTAAAAACCCTATCAGAAAAATCTACAGTTTGACTAGCAGGCAGCAAGCAAGATCAGTGAAGTTCAATTCATGCTCAAAGACCAAATTTATCTAGAACTTTGACTTTTTTAAATGGAGTGGAAGGGACAAAATTCAGAGATGTTTAGTAGGATCCAGCAATAACTCAACAGAAATTTTAATGCTTTGTAAAACATTATAATACAAAATAGAAAGGGAATAGTTGTGCAGTAAAGCATTTAATATTAACTTTTTGTGCAGTTTAAGATAATCTGTTTTCTTCCTGTTTTCTGAATCTAGAAATACTTGAAGGGCCCTAGTGAATTACACTGTGAGAAAGGGAAATAAAACCAGTTTCCCTTCTTAGTTTTAGAGGGTAAACTGAACAGAATATATTGATGCAATTTGAGCCTGAAATAGTTAAATTTCTCCACCATTTTACTAGTTTTTC